TGTGTGCCATGCGCCCACACTACTTCCACGCGTGTGCGCCAACCAGCCTCCGCACGCCCGAACTTTCTCTCTCTCTCTATCTGTGCCACGCGTGCCCACCAATTTCCGCGCGTGCACACTAACCTCTGCACGCCTGAACTCTCTCTCTCCCTCTCTTTCTCACACACACAACGCAGCGCAGAATTCCGTGCGCCATCCCAACTTCTGCGCACGCTCGAAATACTATGCGAAGTTCCAAACTTGGCAAAGTTCACCTCTAACTGAAGAACACCAAGAAGAAGAAGAAGAAGAAATAGAGGAAGAGAAGGAAGAAGCTTACCGAGCTCAATGGCGGGGTGGGGCGGGGCGGGGCGATGGTGATTCGCAGAGGCCGGGGTGGACAGGAGGGGTGATGTTTGATGACGACGATTGTGTCGAAGTGACGGGGTGCACTTCGACAAAGCGGTGGGATGTGGGAGGCGGGGGGTTGGAGGGCAGGCCGGTGATTGCCCGAACGTTAAAAAAACAGCAGCTTATCTGGGCCTCTGATCTCACCAGATCGATGGTCCAGATAGGCCGCTGGTTTCTTAACATTCGGACGGGCCTACTGGACCCAGTTGAAGTTTTTTTCGGTCCGGGAGGCCTCCATGATCCGCGTCAAGGCCTCCCGGCCCCTGAAAAATTTTGAACCTCCCCCCCGATTGAAATGCGCTAACGGCCACCGGGGGGCAACCGGCGCAGTCCACCTGCCGGTACGACCGGCCTGGTTCCGGTGGGGGGAGGAGGCCCTGGTGGGACCGGGTATGCAGCACTGGTTTGCATTGCAAATCTACGCAAAAACGAAATCTGGATTTTTTTTATTTTTTATTTTGGTAGGCGCTGGGAGCTGTCTGGAACCCTGCCGGGCATTTGTGCCCGGCTGGGCACCCGGTCTCCAGGCGCCTGGAAAAACACCCTAGCTTGTGCAAGACATTGGTGCTCACCACTGCAACTGGAAACTGGGAAAAGCTTGTTTTGTGACTTTTACCTCTTTTGTAATTATGCGTGATCTTTTCATTTGTCTGTATGGCTCTCGGCTCATTCTTGATTCCTTCTGTTAAACCACCAGTACTTGGCCCAGCTATCGGCCGCAGTTAGAGTAAAAACGTTTCTAGTCGGATGAATGTGGGCACTCCTGTAGTGGCCCATGCATTTCCTAAAATTGTGACTTGTATACGTGTACGGGTACGACTTTAGGAAGTACTGGTGGCTTAATGAGGCCCATTTTGGAAATGGAACACTCTTCAGGTTCGAGTTCTCTCGGATCCTAGTGGCCAAAAATAGAGTAGGACGATTTCTATGGTACTCTTTCCACAAAGATTCTCGACTGTGCCCTTGCATAGTAAATTGCCACCGTGAGGCCAAGAAGCGAAGTGCTTTGCATGATCTTGCGTGGGTTGTTCACCCTACATGACGTACGAGTGATCTGGACCCTGCAATGGTCTGGTAAATCAGGCTCAGGCTTAGATCGCCACTACCTCTGAGGCTCTCTTTGCCAAGGCCAAAAACAACTGCGCGCCGAGCTTTGCCGAAGCGCCAGCACAACTTTTTTTGTTTTGTTTTGGCTGGCGCCGTCAACCATTTCGGTCTGGTGGCGCTTGGCCTCCGAAGAATGCAGTATAGGGTATATGCCACATGCTTAGGTGGTTTCGAGTTTGCCTGTGAAAGATAGGTGTGGTTTAAGAGAGCTTTGCGACTTTCTGTTCAGATGTGAAGGTGGTTTAAACCTTGGGTTTGGGCGTTTAGGGAAGATGCCACTTGACAGGAAAGGCGGGTATTTTGTGCCACCGCTCGAAATTTCGTGGTTTTGAAGAGAGCGTAGCCTAAAAAGAGCGTTGGTTTTCTTGCAGAATCCCTTGTGCAATTTTTTTTACCGCGAAGGAGATGGACGTACCGGCGACCTGGTGTTCGGGGACTTTCTTGGTGTGCCCTGATAGAGATGTAGGGGGTTGAAGTAGGGTAGCCGGAACATGTATGCCTGTCGGTCAAGGGGAAAAGGCTCGGCCTGAGGGTTGAGGGCTGAGGCCGTATTACCCCTTTTGAGTTTTCGGTGTGAACATTTTTGTTGCCTTGGGCTCTGGGCCCTTGATAATAGAGCTTTTTTTTTTTTTTTTTTTTTTTTCAATAAGAAATGTGTGGGGGTTATTTGCACCATGCTTTCAGACTACCTGATCTAGCAAGATCACTCCCATGTCAATACTGTCTTTTGGCACATGCTTGTTATTTGACTAGGGAGGGCGGCAGAGGGATTGGTAGTCGCGAATGTCCTTGAACGGACATGCAGTTTTTCCCAGGGGTGCTCGTGGTCGCTAAAAACAACGAGTGGTGTTTTGATGTTGCTCCAGCTCTGCTAAAGTTTTGTCGTATATATTCTGCTTCCTCTTGCAATTGCAGGTTGGAGGAACTCCAGCGGTATTGAAGTACCTTATGGAGGCAGGACTGATCGACGGAAGCTGCTTGACAGGTACGGGAGGTGTTCGAAAGGTACCAGGACTTTGTTTCTTTGTCCGATCGCAGTAGGTGTTCCATCGTCTTTTGAAAAGCCTCCGCAGTTGAGATGCCCTGGCGCTTCTGGTGCAAAAGACTATATTCCTCCTTCGGCTTTTTGCATGTACATCTTCATCTCAGTTGTGATCAATTTTGGGCAAGCTTTTTTGGTGTGTTGAAATTGGATTTGGTGGGACAAATCTGGTGAGACAGGTGCATGAATGGGATGCATGACAGACGACTTCCAGTCGTATTGTGTCCAAAACTGCAACACGATAACATGGTAACCAAAAAGGGAAAAAGGTTCATGCATAGCAATTTAGAAAATGATGACAATCTCAAAAGCAGGTCGAGGGGTGAGGGTTGATGATAGTTCCCTTTGACCATTGTACTTCACGGTATTGTATCATGTGGTCAGGGCTTGTTCAAGTCTCGTCGTGGTGGTCATGAGTATCGGCAAGCCAATCATCCAAAAGGCAAATCCACAGGCAGAACGATTGGCAAATGGAACATATCCAAAAGGAAGAGGAGGGGAGTAGAGTTGGGAGGGGCTGATAGGTTGTAGCAGACATAATGCCCCCTTCAAACTATCTCCCATGGCAACTCTGGCTTCTGACTTGCAGTATTCGTCTGTTGTTGACAGTGACTGGGAAGACTCTGGCAGAGAACCTCGCATCTTGCCCACCACTCTCTGAAGGCCAGGTATGATATGTGGACTCTCTAGTAGTCAATTTTGTTTGTTTGTTTGTGCGTGTGTGTGTGTGTGTGTGTGTGTGTGTGTGTG